TCCTCCTGTCCTGTCCTCCTGTCCTCCTGTCTCCTCTTATCCTGTCCTCCTGTCCTGTCCTCCTGTCTCCTCCTGTCCTCCTGTCCTGTCCTTTCCCATCTATGAGATAAATCTTGTTCCAGCAGGAACTGAATCTGAATGTTTATAATTTGAAACTGAATGTTTCTACATATAGGTCAAATTAATCACTGCAATAAAATAACTTTGTGTGTTTTTGTCACTTTTACAGTGGATTGCATCAACTCTGTTACATCCAGAAGGGAAACTTCACCAAAGTGAAACATAAATCTGTGGATCTGTGTTTGATTACTCTGCCTGGCTTTCTCAAGGACCAGAATGTGACACAAACATCTGAATTATGGAACTGAAAGTGAAAGTAGTCAAACTGAATTTTAATAAACCAAAATACAGTTTCAAAGCAAATTAATTCAGATACAAAACTTTAAATTCAGTTTCAGTTTAGTGAAATTAATTTTCAAACCAAAGCGTTCAGATTCAGTTCCTGCTGACACAAGGTTTATTCTGTACCCGTCCTCCTGTAGAGCAGCTTATCTGCTGTCGGTCTTCTCTAACCTCCTCGTCTTCCTCCTGCAGGAGAATCGATGTCTCCCCCAGTGCCTTTAAGAGGCACCCCCCCGCGTTTGAGGATTTGGACGAGACGAGCTACAAGGTGACGAGCACTTTTGAAATGTGACATACGTGGAGTGTGAGGCCATCCCGAGCAGCAGTGTTCAGCTTTGTGCTTTTCTTTCAAAGGATGCATATTTCTAAATCAAAAGAACCCAAATGTGTTTAATAAGTGCCAAGAAAGCCCGCAGCCTAAGAGATATGGTTAATGATTGGGTATGTACCAACCCGAGCAAAGGCTTAAAGGAAGTGAATTAAGATCCAGAGTCCAAGCCTCTCATGGGACGATTATCTGTGCCTTTACCTTGTGAGTATTTCCTCTGACAGAAGCACCCAGCCTCAAACTGTGCCCTCAGTTTATGTTCATGAGCTTCATGCATGTGTGCACAACACAACTTTCAATCATAGTTACTGCAGCAGTAAGCAACACTTGACTTCTGACTGGGTGGACTCTGGTCCTGCTGCCTCAGGCTCTAACAGGATCTGGTCTCTGCAGGACCCCAGTAAAAAGTTCAAAGGGGACGTGCTGGACCTGCGCCTGGATATAGAAAGAAGGAAGAGGTTCGCAGGGAAGGAGCGCCCCGGGGGCTCCCGAGGACCCAGCAGGGACAGGTCCTCTGACAAATCTGGGAAACACCACAAGAAGTCCAAGTAGGTCCACCACATGTTGTCCCCCGCCTGTAACCATGRCAACCAGTCTGACCCTGTGTTTCCTCCCACAGGAAGGGGAAGAAGAAGAGGGACCGCTCTCAGTCCTCCTCTTCCTCCTCCTCCTCCCCCTCCCCCTACCCTCCCCCCTTCAGAGGGAAGGAGTACATGGGGGAGGGGATGGAGCCCTCAGAGGAGGGCTACAGCCACCCCCGCTACCCCCCACGGGACTACAGCGGCCCCGGGGACCGGGGGCCCCGAGACTACGAGGGCCACGGAGCAGAGAGAGGAAGAGGCCGAGGCTTTGTGAGTTTGTTGTGTTTGTGTTTGTGTTGATTTGTTGTGTCCTCACAGCAGACACAGGCTCTGCTCTTCCTCCTCACAACAAGGACTTAATGATGAGGAGGAGGAGGAGGAGGAGGCCTTGTTCACATGAACGTAACGTAGTGTCAGTGGAGACCGGCCTCCTCACTGTGACCCCCCCCCCCATTCTGAGTTTGTGTCCAGCTGATGAAGATGAAGCTGTGTCTGATGCTCTTCATCTTGTCTCAGTTTCCCAGGATGAGAGGAAGAGGATGGAACAGAGGAAATTATCCTGGAAACAGCAACGGAAACCCACCTAACCCTAACCCACCTGCCCGCCCCCAGGAAGAGGACTGGGACCCCGAGTACACCCCCAAGAGCAGGAAGTACTACCTGGTCAGTTCCTGCTGACACCTGTACTGATGATTGACAGATGGTTGTTTACCAGGGTCTCTGCAGGGTCTCAGAGTATTGAAAGGTAATAAACACCACCTGTGTGTCAGTGGATGCTAGCTGTAGCTAAAGTTAGCTGGACAGGTGCAGCAGGTGCAGCAGGTGCAGCAGGTGAGGAGAGTAAAGTGATGACTTTAATAAGAATGACCTGGGAGATGACATCAATCAACAGGTGTGTGTTTACTGGAACAAACTGACACACTTTAACACTAAAATAGTTATATTAGTTTGAACAAAACAAAAGTAAATTAAAGCTGTCTCACATTTTTATTCTTTTTCCTCAAAACTCTGAGTGAGGGCATTCTCTGTGAACATGTCAGTTTCATGTGTTTGTAGATAAAAATGAGCTCATTTAAGTCCTTCACTGTGATAAAGTATTAAAGTCTGATCCCAAATAAACACTTTAGTTTAAATTCTCTAAATCCTGTATGTAAATATGATGCAGGGTCTCATGAAGTATAATTTACACACATCACATAGATCCTGTTGGTTTGGTTTATTTAGTAAGTTTTTATTATTTTCAATCATAGTTTTTAATTTAAAGTGTTTTTAGCTACAAGAAAGTTTATGAATTGTGATTTTTAAACATAAAAACCCTTCATACTATCATATTACATATACAT